TTCTATCATTAATTTCCACAATTTAGTTGCCGACTTAGGAAGCTATCTATACCTATAATTCTATATGTTATCGTATACTGATGAGAGCTCACGGGAAACCAAGCAATAAGCCACGGAAAAAAAAAAAAAAAAAAAAAAAAAAAGAAAGAAATTTTCCTTCTGATCAAAAATAATTTTCTCCATTCCTCCTTCTCTATAGTTCTTCCATAGCAAGTTAAGCTATGATTTTTATTCTCTTGTCATCTAATATAAAGTGGTGATTTTGATTATGGTATCTTGTGAAAGATGTTTCTGTGATGATAAATATATAATCTCGCGTGCTGTTTCATAGGATTAAAATTATGTTTATTATGATAGTAATTTAATTTTAGGGATTTCTCTTTACATGTTTGATCTACGATTGTTTTGTATTTTGTTGGGTAAATTATTAAGTTATGTTTTATTATAATTTCATATCATGTTAATCTGTAATTTATGTTTTTAATTGGAGTTTTATTAAGTTTGAGAGTAATTAATAAATACTTAAGCTTTATGCCCTATTTTGATGTAAACTGTCTGACAGATTTAAAAAATCGATAATTTTTATGATATTTTATATTATTTTTCTTAAATAGTAGACATCCCAAAAAACAAAAGGGAATACCAAGTTATAATAACACCTCCCGCATATAATAGTTAACTATTTTTTGTATTGTTTAATTAATTTGTGTTTTGGAAACTGTATTCAGTTATTTTTGCTCAAGAAATAGTATTATTTGGTTTGATTATAAAATTACCCAGCCTGCAATAATAATATCGCAAACAACTTCAGTTTCCATTTTGTTAACATCCAATATTAACAATCCTTTTTTTCTTACGATTCAGAACAAGATTTGCAGTTCTGCATATCAGGTGTGAGAGGGTTGAGGATCCGGTGTTTTGGTCTCCTCCAACGCGTTCCTCTGGTTGGCCGAAGATATCACCGACAAGAGTGGAGAATGGTGGCTGAAAGGATTTCAAACCAAGAATGATTAAAGATGTACGGTAAAATCATTGACGCACCAGAGAAGGTCCTAATTTAATTATTCTACAGTAGAGAATGTATTTTCTCTTACCGGTAGAGTGATTATTTAGAATCGTTGGATTGAAATCCTACGGTAGAAAGAGATGGTGTACCAAAATAAAATTAAACCTTCCACACATTATTATAACATTTATTCTCAAAAAAAAAAAAAAAAAAATCTACAACTAAATCTTCCCACCTGCTCCTCCCCGCACGTCACCGCCGTCGGATCTCACACCCTGTGCGCACAACGTCAGCAAGATTAGCGACCCTCTAGTAGTGAATCCAACAACCTTCGAGTTCTTCGCCATTGTGCTCATCCTCTAGTGCCACCGACACTTCAAAAAATCATTGTCACTGACATAATTTCTTCTTGATTTGATCATATTTTTGTAACTTGATTGGAGGTGGGCAAGGATGAACATATCGGTATCGGTAGAAATACCGGTACTCCAGTTTTGTAGAAATATTAAAGAAAATATCGACATCGGTAGAAATATTAGAAAAATTTACAAAAATAACGAAAATTTACATTAAAACATATTTTTAATACTTTCCGATAGTATCAACATTAAAAAGATATATAAACAAACAAGTTTAACATAAAAAAACTCATACATATTACATTTTTTAACACTAAAAGGAAGTTCTATGAAGCTCAAACGTGGTCAGGGTCCCATCTTGATTCAAACAATATTAGTATTGTGATATGTTATTTGAATAATGTCGAACATAGTTATAAAGGTGCCACATGAAGGTTTGTTGATCCCTAAATTCATGGAATAAGGTTTGTTATTTGAATAAGGTTTGTTAATAAAATTATGATTATATGGATAATAAACATTAGGAATCTATTAGAAGAGCTACAATAATTGAAACCTAAATTCATTGATTGTTTCATAAGATGTTTTTACATTCTTAATATTCTTCACTCTCTCCTTGCTAGATGACAAAGGAAATAATGTAAGAAAACATATATTATAAAGAAAATTTAAGAAAAAAAGAACCAAAAAAAAAAAACTATTAAAATTTTCGTTTGTGAAATGATTGAAATTTCTTTAAAATTTATTGATATTCTATCTCAATTACTCTATACGCAAACCGATATTGACATTTTAACCGATATTTATCGATATTTTTGATATTTTCTCAATATTTTGTCAATATTAATATTATAATAGAAAAAATTTTAAAACCCTCAAAAATCTGAAATTTCAGAAATTTCAGCGAAATTTTCGTCCATGTCCATGGAGGGAACCTTGGTGGCTTGATGGGGGAAGAATAAGCGATTTTTTAATGGGTTTTCTTTTTTTGAGAATTATGTTGTAAAAATCACACGTAGGTAGTCTTATTTGAGTTTAGTGTTCCTTCGTGTCTTTCTACCATTGATTTCAATCAAACAGTTCTAAACAATTACCCTATCGATAGAGAGAAAGTACATCCCTCCACTATACATTTTCTCTTAATTTAGCGTATTTCGCATTGAAAATAGTGCACATAGGTTGCTTAGGGATACATTTTCCAACGTGGACAGAGGTTGCTTTCGAGGTTTAATCCACACGTGAAGAAGCACGTGTATCGTTTTCTTTCTTAATCACGCACTAATCCCCAATTCACTCGTCATCATTTTTCAACAGGCAGAAAGCAAACGAAACGACTGTCGGCAAAAGAATCTAAAGATTATAATAACCACATTTAATTAACACCAGCGATAACAACAACACAATGACTAATCAGAAACAACCACCGTAAAAAAGTAACACAAATCTCTGCTCCTTTTATAGGTTTGAATTTTTAATTTTAATTAAGATGTGATATTTTTTAAGAGTTTTTATCTGTAATAAAAATAATTAAATGTGATATTTTTTAAAAATTTTTAACTATAAAAATTTAGAACTGAAAACTCAAATCGATAAAATTAATAAGACCAAATACACTAGAACAAAATTGAGTTGAAAAGTAATTTGCGAGTATTGAAGCTTTTAAACACTTTTGACGTAAGCGCGGTGCTTTGATCGAAGGAAATTTTTGAAAACGACACCATTTTGTTACTACGGCATCTTATTTAATGAATACGATCGCGTGTTTTCTGTAGAATGAATTAGTTTGTGATTATAATCTTGTAAATAAAAAGGTAAACAAAATAGTAAGTTTAGTGTACTAAACTTTCAAATGCGAAAACATTTGATTTTATCATCAAAATAAATAAATAAATCCGTCCTAAAATAGCTAGGATCTATATGATTGAAATTTGGATTTAGTAATCAATGGAACGACCAATCTCATGTATCCTCTAAAAAACATCTCATATAATTTATTGAAAGATTAGATTGCGATTATTATGTGGGAGAAATTGCAAATTACATTTGAAGCTAGAAAAAAAAATGTTTATGATAAAGTTAATTCCACTATTAGCGTTGTAATCCTCTTGTCTTTTAACTATTTTTAGGTCGATTAGTTCTTGGGCTTGTTTTTATTGACACTTATGGTACTAAATCTAAAACTGAGAGTGAATATTTGAAAATTGACAAAAGTTCTACATGTCAGCTTAAAATTTTACGGAAGTGCTTCTTTAAAAACCCCTAATAATAAGAATATATGCGTTTCATATGATTGCTTTTGCAAAATTTTATATTATCACACGATGAAGAAATTATTACCTCGTTAAAGCACATTACGATAGAATGAAAGTATATTAATAAACAGTATAGGGAAAAAAGACTCAATACACTCTAAAATGATATTTGTCTCATTTTCCTAATGATTGAAAATGTAAACAAATAAACAAGAAAATGCCACAAAAGTAGGCCTTGAATTGATTTTAGCAAAAGAGAAAATGAGATAAATACTCCTTTAAATGCATAAGTCTTATTTTCACCGTTTATTATAGATTAATATCCTTTTGTCAAAGAACTATATTAGTCAAAAAAGATTTTAATCAAGAATAAATGGTAAAAATCTTAGAACAATGCATTTAAAAGGATGAGTTCACCAATTTACTCTTTTAGCAATGATTCCTACTAGACAACCTAGAGTTGCAAGTTTAAAGCAAGTTAAACCGGCTGGACTGTTGGATCGGGTCCTATTCTGCTCAAACCTCTTTTGACCCCGAAACAGGCTGACCCAAACATTTTTTTCTTGAAAATTCCTTATAAATTTTGGCCCGACCCTATACCCGTCTTGCTTAAGGGCCGCGGCGCCGGGCAGCCCGGCTCCAAACTTTCATTTCCAATACAAACACACCTTCCATAGGGTTTCTTAGGTCAAATCTGATTAGTTCATCTCTCTGTCACTTCTACCAATTTTTCTCTCCCCTTAGAGCAGACTAATAGCGACGGAAGCAAAAGGCAACAAACTCACCGGTGTCATGGCGAGTCTAGCCCGACGTGGTGTTGTAGCCATTTTCCCTCCAGTACAAGCCTTCCAATTCCCGATTTGCTTGAGCAGCGGTGGGGCAACTGTTAGAATAGATGCCTAAGAAGCATGATCTTAATTTATCTTTGACATCATATAAAATGAAATTTCATGTACTTATTAATAATTCAAATGATAATTGTATATCATTATATTTAATGAATAATTACCATCAAAATATGCTAATATGATTAAATCTATTAATTATGTGTATGAAATGTTCATATACGGAAAATATAATTGCAAAGGATGTAGTACAAATCAATAAGTTCACAATCAGTGAGAAATTATAGTTGGGCATTCTTCAGCTTGAGTTCACCAATAATTTTCATAAAACATAAATTTATTTTATACACTCAATGAACACAGAGACTGAAAGGAATTCACGAGAAGAAAGAGCAACTACTTTTCTGTAGTCCAAACATTAGATTCAATAAATAAATAAATAGAGAGCTGCGGATGCAGTCAAACCTGAGGGAAGCGGATGCAGTCAAACCTGAAAAAAAAAAAAAAAAAAAAAAAAAAAAAAAAAAAAAAACTTTACAGCTTTGAAATACTTGTATGAATTCTCTAACTTAAAAAAAGGAGTTAAACAAGTACCTGGAAACTTAGAAAACACACACTTCCTCTTATTACCTATGAAGAAAGGTGAATAATGGAAAAGAAACCAAATAATAAAAAAACAAATTATTAAATAAAATCAAATTAGATGTACTTTGAGCTTTCCCTATCTTGATCATATTATTCTTGAATTCTGCAGTTGCGAATGGAAAGGCCCAGTATATTGATACCGTGGATCCATCAACCAAAAGAGTCGGCAAAGGCTTATTTCCAGATTTTGACGGATTTGTCATGACTGGCAGAGGCAACCATCCCTGTTACTGGTGATTGTGCCAACGCTGATATCACGCCCTCATGAGCTTGAATTGTCATACATTTATTCTCAGCTATGTTCCATAGCTCCAAAGACTGCAAAATTTCAATGATTAGAAAGTAAAAATATATTAGTAACCAAACAAGTACAAAATGATTTGGTATAAATTATTATACAACTTGACAGATATTTTTGCTGTATATAACATTGACGGTAAAAAATAAATTATTCTTTTAGAATATATATATATATATATATATATATTCTTTTAGTAGTATTTTCTTTGGTGATACTTTTGGAATATGCTACCCACATTTTTTGTTTTGTTTCTAGTAGTAGCAACAGAAAATCAGATGCAAAAGTGAGCTCTTGACAAGCCAGGGTAACATTAGATTGTACATGGTGTATTTTCCTAGAGAAGTAGAGTTTCTTCCCCACAGCAATATATTAGAACATAAGACTATGTTGGTCAACCTCCTAATAGGTTAAGGCTTCGTTTGTATTACCATTCGAATCACAACTCAATCTTTTTGCTACAATGTTGTTTCTCACAAAAATCCAAATTCAACCTTTTCTGCTACAGTAATTTTTCTCGCATAAATTCATATTTCAACTCAAGTTCTCAACTTGAACGAGCAAAACGAATGGTGCCTAAGCTTTTGGGATAATTGGTAATCTAACATAGTATCATAGCAGCAGGTCTTGAGTTCCTGTAATTATGCTCTCTGAAGTTGTCATCGCATACTGGGTCTTTATTATGTTTCAGACTTATACGTGTTGGGCCTTTTAATTATATTTGTTTTACCCACATGATTGCCATTGTCACGTGCTAGTGTCATAATATAGAAATATTATTGGTCCACCTCTTAATAGTTTAAGAAATTGGTATGCTAACAGATTAGAGCTAGGATTTCACAATAATCTATCCACAAATTCACAACATCTGGATATTCCTAGGAATTCTGCAAAGCCCTGTCATGATATAAAAACTACTACTAAGAGATTATTAATGAAAAATACTTAATACAACCAATGGTGCTAATCAGCAATGGCCTTTGGTTGTTATGTGACAGCACCTGTCTCAGCCTACCAATTTCATGATTGAACCAAAAGTCGGTAGTGATTGTCATAATTGAGGACATAAGATAGTTTATAAAAACTAGCTGCGGGAAATTTTTCTTTTAGGAGGTCAAAGGCATATAATACTTTGACCATGGATATTAACCATTTTGAGTTTTATTAGGGAAAAAAAAAATGCTAGTGGCCTAGCATGCTCTTTTTCTCCTCCCCGTCTCTTCTGCTCCGTGCACTAAACCTACTATGTGAGTGAGGCATCACGCAATGCACAATCAATGGATGTTAGTTAACCTTAAAATAAAACAAACTTACAACCCCAATATCATGATACCTACAAACACAATTTATAGTGGAATTGCATTATCATGTGTTTTCCAACAACACAGTTCTCATTGACCACCCTTTTAAGTAAATGGCCTTTTCTTTTTGCTGGCTTTAATAGCTACCAGTCCTAAGATTTGCTATTCCTAGACTGCTACAACTTTAAGCATAAAAAGATTTTGAATTCTGATCCTCAACCAAAATAAAAAAAGCAAAATTTCACCTGGTAGCCTCCAATGACCAAGAGAGTGGAGTAGCTTGGATGGAATACACAGGACTGGAACATGTTTCCGCTGGAACTGAGTTCATGGATGCACTCTCCGGACGATAAAGACCAGACTCTGACAGCATCCTGACTAACAGATGCCAAAAGATCTCCATTTGTATCCCAACAAAGAGAATGTACCTCTGTTGAGTGCCCCTGAAGAAAAAAAGGTTATTTTTTTCTGATTAGCAAGTGGCAACAGATCATAATGTGAGACACTTGTGAAAAATAGGAAACCATCAAATTGCCCCAGGAATAAGAATCATTGCTCCCACCTGGAACGAGTATGTTTGTCTGTCACTCTCAACATCATAAATGGAAATAATATTCCCAGCTGCAGCAGCCATAAACTGTCCAATTCTCGGCTGAAATCTCACCTGAGCCGAACCTCCCTGCTACATCAAACAACTAGATTTAAAACAAAAGCTAAATTATAACTAGAAAAGCATCATAAACTTAAAGAATCAAGCTAAGGGTAGTAATACTAGCCTTGGAAACACGGGTGCAATTATACTGACTCAGATTCCAATAGCGAATCTCATTATTAGCATCACAAGAGCATAAAAGGTCGGTCTTCTTGGGGTGGAAATCAAGTGACAGCACATGCGAGGTATGCCCTGAATAGGCATGCATGCAATAATTTGGCTGCAAGAATAAATCACAATAATTTAGAACAAGGCTAGCATAAAAACAGACTGATAATTTTTTGACCAAAATCTTCACTGATTGTTTATTAAAAACTGATTATGCAAGATCTTAAGTAGCGAGTTTCATGGAAAATCCAAAGAAGTAACAAGTGCTCACAGTATTAAGGTCATAAACATGAATGGAAATGATGTAATGATGTCAATATGAATGGCAAAGAAATAGCCATTGAAAATTACGAACATAATGAGATCAACAATCAGGAGGAGAAATATTGGCCTTAGCAAGTAGAGCCATAACACCAGGCAACGTAAAAATTGTAATATGGTATCATGTCATACGCTCAAATTAACAGAGAGAAGTAAGGATGAATCATTGGCATACATGTTACTTCTCACATATCACTCATTGTGCTTACCTGACCATCTTTGGGTTCATCCTCTGGTCAGGACAAGATATAGATTTAAGAACACATGTCAAGGATAAAAAACCTATCTTCAAAAACTTTTACTTAAAATAATAAGATAATACTTGAAGAAAGTAACAATTGATGATGCATCAAGACAGAAAATCAGCCTCTCTAAACAAGCAACAAACTGCGAGAATAAAGAATAAAGAATAAAGATTCATGATGTGGATGGAAATGAAAGCATCTGGATCATATTTGCAATGAAACAATTTGGAAATTATAAATTGTTTGCTATTATTGGAATAATTTGGAAATTATAAATTGTTTGCTATTATTGGAATAATTTGGAAATTATAAATTGTTTGCTATAATTGGAATAATTTTGACAAATATATAAAACCAGCACTGTGAGAGAGAGAGAGAGAGAGAGAGAGAGAATTTACTTCTGCAGCATCCCAAAGTCGCACTGTCGTATCAAATGAAGATGTTGCCAGCTGAGTGGAATTTGGTCTAAATCGAACATCAGTTATTATCAATGTGTGTTCTTCCGGAGTGCTCTCAGTTTGCAGTGTCTCCATGTTCCAAAGAACAACCTACTGACATGGAGAAAAAAGGATAAGCATCCCCAACAATTTGTTAAACGTTGAGTTATCTTAATTTTGTATGTTCCTATAGGTCCTTTACCAGCTAAAGCAGCTGGTAGTTCTAAGAACCTCAATATTGCATTAGAATGATATTTTCCTTTCAATCTATTTTTTTTTCAAGGAAAATAATTGATGAAATTAAAAAAAGAAGCAATAAAACCCAATAAAAGGGATGCTCATTTCAAAAGTAATTTATTGACACACTTTCAGGGGGAAAAAAAAGTCTAGTATTCCAACTTAGTTTCTTGCCTCCACAAGGAAGTTAGGTTGACATGCAGTTTAAAAAAGCAAAAAGACAAAACAACCAAATAACTAATTGTGTTACAGGTGAGATGCAGTTAAATTCATTAGATGAAGCCAATTTAAAAAAAAAAAATCAAAACAAATATCCTCAAAATATGAAGCTCATTTCTTCAGGATAAAATTGACAATACCTTTTTGTCATGCCCAGCACTAGCTAATAATTTCCCATCCGACGAGAAATGACAGCAAACAACTTTACTGTTACTTTTACGTATCGAACTAACTTCATTGAAGGAAAAACCTGAGACAGAGAAAACCATGTCATTCTGCAACTTATGAGTTCAATTGTCATTGCTCAAAGCATGAGACTATTAATACCCTTTGACGCTTCTGCTGCATGTTCTGGATTCCGTTTCAATGTGCCAAATAGATCTCTTCCGTCTCCATCATCGTGTGATAAAAAAGATTCCACATTGTCTTCTAAGGAGCCAACATCACCAAACTGGTCCATATTGTCCTGCGATTACAAATATTAGTTAAAAACATATATTTATACAATTTATCAAGCAGTTAAGTTGTAGCAGACTATGATACAGTTGACTTCTCAACTTGCATGGCCCTGCTAAAATTACTAAAATTCAAGGCCCGAGGAATCAAGTACCCCATTCTAAACACTAATCAAATTACTTGTTCTCAAATTGAAGAATTATGCCACCCTTGTTTATGACCTTATCAATTTAGCTGGGCATAATTTATTCCAAATCTTAAAATCTAAAGAAGGTTTTAAATACTTTTAAGTCAATAGTTTAACTTGCAATCAACATGCTCAAAAACACAGTTTAAATTCATCTCCAACAGATTATGCAGGTAAAAAAATACTAAAAAGAGTTTACCAGCTGGTTTGTTGAAGACGCAATACCACCTGTTCCATCTGCACCATATATCATCATACTTTTCGACATGCTATTAACGTTCTGCAAATTACTTGGCATAGCAACTCCATCACCAGGGGTATGAGTTGATGGAGTGGATGGTTGAGAGTTAGGTGAAGGACCAACTGTATTTCCAGTACCAGTACTGTTGGCAGCTCCAGAAGAAGAAGGTCCTTTCCTTTTTCGGTTATTCTAGTAGAAGACAATCAATAGTCATTATTTCCAGAAAGAAATCCCTTTAGTTATCATTGCAAGGGATCCTGATAATAAGGTCATTATGTTGAAGTAGCACTACCTGTTGCACTTGCTGGGATTGCAAGGGATCCTGTTGTTGTTGAGACGAAGAGTGTTGCATCTGCTGCATGCTCATCTGCTTAAAGCAAAATATGTTCAGAAAATTTCCTGTTATAGGCTCTAAGGTCATACGAAAACGGTATTTACCTAAACCAGCAAAACTAAATATAGTTATATATGGTGTATACATAAACATTCATATCAAAGCACAGTAACATTCCCCTAATTAAAGAAAGCAAGATGCGCATGTATAGCGAAATAGCTAAAAGAAAAAAGCACCCAAGAAAAGTGAATATAATATAGGTGGCTAATGAGTTGTCATGTTAAATTTTTCCAAAGAAAAAGCACACACGAGGATTTCATGATTTTCATACAATTGAAGTATTAGGCCTAAACATTGATAGCACTAGTTCTAGCTAGGCTAAGGTGTTGAGAAATGAAGTGTTACATAGGCCTGAGACAGACATGCCTACAGATTGAACTTAATTTGTTACCAAAATCCTGGTCTTATTTAGCCATCTATGAATGAACTACTCGTTCTTTTTTGTACCTTACATTCATTAGAATACTAATTAGCTAAAAAGAAAGCATCTACCTATTTAGATCATTAGTTTCTTCAGGGGGAAATTTAGAAACAGATGAAAAGCAAACCTTTTACTATTGTACTTAAATATAGTGTAAATCGGAGTACAGTTTATATGTTTGGATAGGCTGAGCTGGCTTTCAAACACTCAATACAAGTATGGTCCTAGAAAATATCCGGACACTAATTTCTTCCAACCCACTCAAGGCAGGAAAATTCACATCAAAACCGTAAGGAACGTGCAATGGGGGATTCACAACAAAATTTAAAAATCCCATGAAGAAAAACTCTGAATTTAAACTTTAATTTCCCTCCAGAGCTTCAAACCACAACTTTCTTCAATTTTTCTCATTAAACTTCCAATAAATTTTTGTCGAGGTTGTCTGGATTCCTTACTGCTGTCGATTACATGATCAGTTTGATTATATATTCTTTTTCAATAATTTATGATGCTTTTAGGTTACTTCAACTACAGACCTGCTCATATGGGAAACAAACAGCAAATCAACCAACCACATATATCAAGCAGAACAAGACATTAATTTAACTACGTGGTCCTGCCAAGAGGCTGTACACTTTTTTTTTTTTTTTTGGAAAAGAAACAAATAATTTCTATTAATGAAGAAATTATATACAAACAAAAGAAGGAAGAGATGAGCTCCAAAGAAACCAAACTAATTTTACATTATTAGGGAGGGGACCATGATAGCTATATTTGAATTTGAATGTGCCACACAGAGTAGTAAGCACTCTCACTGCTTTCAGCCTACCAAAAAACACATTTAGTATTTACTATGACTATGACTGTAAGTTAAAAAGACTTAACTTGGATGCTTATTTTGCATCCTGTTGAAATTCGATTTCGTAAATGAAACATCAGGATGCACTTATAGAATATCAATCATACTAATTAATGAATCACTGACTTGTGGTGCACAACAATGCTAGGTCTCTAGGGTGAAGAAGAGGAAAGGAGAATGAGATGGTAGTTCCAAGAACTTAAACTTACCTTTGATGAAGCAGATTGCATCGGAGAACCTATAGATCCATCATTGGCAATGGATTGGCCATCTTTTGCATTTAAAGGTCCCCTAGGTAAACCTCTAAACCTTTGAGGATCCATGTCACCATACATAGCTGAACCAGTAAGATTACTCTGCCCCTGCACCTGCGATAAGATTTGCTGTTGTTGCTGCTGCGGCAGAAGCTGAAACTGGCTTGCATTTTGGAGGAAAGGTTTTTGAATTTGTGAACCTAAACCTGGCCTAATTTGGTCTATACCCTGGATAAATTAGAAACAATAGTTATACACTGGGACCAGAAACATATGCTGCATTAATTCTTTGTACATATAAGTAAAATGTTAAACTTACTGTTAAAGGCCACCCCTTTAAAGGAAGACCACTGACTCCTGGGTTCAGACCTGTTACAGAAAGAAAAAACCAAACACTATTTGATGATGATGATGATGATGACGACGATGACGACGACGATGATGATCACAATAACAATAATAATAATAATAATAATAACAATAATAATAATAATAATAATAATAATAATAATAATAATAATAATAAATATAATAATAAATCCCGTAATCATGAAAGCATCAACATATCGATCACGCAGCAAGTCAATTCTAGAATAATTTATGAAGATTGTTGGGGTAAGCTGGGCAAAAAACTTTAATTGTATTGAATGTTCAGAACATGCAGCAAATCAAACTAGCATCCCACTTTCGCTGTCTTTCTTTTGGAAAATGGTAAGACACTAATTATCTCCACGAATAAGTATTTCAAAGCAATCTTGCTCTCAAATTACATTCTTCCTATTTTTGAGCTCAAGATGTTGTGCTCATGAAAATTCAATCATTTTGACATTGAAAAATATGACACAAAAATGCAGATGTACCTTTACTCCAAAGGAAAGAACAGAAGATCAATATACATGTACATATGTATCTATTGTGGAATTATGAGAGTGAATTATTTTATTCCACTAATTTGAGCCAAAAGAGTACACGACTATAGAATGGAGAGGCTGAAGACCTCATTCCACTAAACAGTGAATACAAATGTCAAACCTACGTACAATAGTCACATAAAATATGGAAACTAAATAACAATTGAGATTGGGTAATCTGCTACCAGAATCTCCTTATTCTAAGGAAATAAAACTGTAAACAAATCAGCCAACACATCTCTGAAAATCAGGGAAATAATCAGAGAATTTCCACATCTATGTATGTTTTTATTTATATTTATTTCTCTGTTCACTATTTCTTGGTAGAAAAGAAGATTGGAAATCTGAGCACAGCCACAAATGGATTGGTATGATGGCATTGTAAACATAGTACAAAGGCATCTTAGTCCAAACTTGTGAATTGGTAGACATGGCACGCATACTGATTGATAAAACTTTGACCAATACTCTCGAAAGACTATTATATCAAGGAACGGAAAATGTAACTACTTATTTTAGGCTCATAACAGAAAACTCATCCTAAAAGGAGGGCAAAGAGACGAAAAGGGCTAGTGAAGCCCCCTTTTTTATTGAATCGTTACAAAAATTTATGGGGATTGAGCATTTTAGATATATATTTTTTTCCTTTTGCCTAGTTTGTTTTCTTTCTTTTTTAGCCTCTCTCTCTCTCTCTCTCTCTCTCTCTCTCTCTCTCTTCTCTCTCTCATAAAAAAAAGTGCCATACCTGCATTTGCTATTCCAGGTTTTGACTGCATCATTCCCTGCCCATAGATTGAAGAGGGATCCATGGGCAAAGATCTTTGTGCAGTACCCATATTAACTTCGCCTTTGATGTCCTATGTAGACAAGACAATAAATGACTAATGAGATTGAGGGAAGAAAAGGAAGAGAACATAGCAAGATTGACATTTCCAAGTACTCACAGGGCTCTGCTGAGTTCGCGCCTGTATTTGTTGCAATGCTGCATTGACACTACCAGGGCTTCCTTGCACCAACTGACTGCATCGGGAGAAGCTATGTTGAATCAACTACTGACTAATACAGATATCAGAATTCAAACGAATGAAATCTACAACAAAATTACCCAGGGTGGTTTGTCGCTGATTTCAGGAGAGCCATTCTCGCATCAAGGAGTGGTTGAGATGTTTCCGAATCCATTGGATTAGGGTGCTTCATTCGTTCCTCATACATTTTTGCTGCCAATGCAGTAGCAGTAGACTGCCCAAGCATTCCTTCGGAACTAATAGCATTAAGTGGACTACCAAGAGCAGGATGATTAGGATCCCTCCGCTGAATCTGAGCTTGGCGCATAAGTTGAAACTGCTGCATTTGCATCTGTTGTTGCTCTTTTGCTTTGATTTGTTGTGCCTTCACATCATTACCGAAGGAGTCAAAGGAAAAAGAAAAAGCCAGAAAAAAACACAAACAATCAGTTAAGAAGCTAAGTGAGAGACACCATCCATATCCCATAAAACTTAAAAAGCTACCTCTATGTAAGCAGCAGCAGAATCGGAATGCTTATCATTCGTTCTAGCAATAAAAATGTCCCAGAAGACAGACCACCATTCAAAGAGAAAACCGCCAGGAGCATCAATAGCTGCATATGATTGATTAAGTAATTAAACACACTGCAATATTAGTCCAACACCCCCGGTATACGAGTGTGTTAATGAGATACTTGAGCAAGGTGTTTTGGATGTATTTCAAATAGACCATAATCTAAACTAAGCAAAATTTTTCAACTCATTAATCAATTGAGCAGTTACAACTCAAAAGAAGAGTAATATATAAATTAACTATGATAATGTATTACCTACTGGATCTGGGGCAACTTTCCCTTCAGTCATGAAGGACTTTGCGGTAGCATGTAATTTTTTCTTCACCAAATAGTCATAAATGTACACATCAAGCCTGCCAAATTAGCAAAATAACAATAGCGTTTAATTTTGTATATCCAATATCTAAAAGAAACAATAAAAAGATCAAGACAAGAAGAACAAAACATAAAAGCAAAAATCATAGAATATACATCTTATCTGCTTCCCAATTACTCAACGCCATAGTTCCAGGTCAAAAGCCAACCAAAGCTGCCAAAAACGAAAGAAAATAATAATAAAAAAAATTACTCGATTACAGTCTCCCATCGGAAAACTAAAGTCACCAGAAAAATTCAGATTCGTTAAACAAAATTACAATCCCAGTTAACCTTAATTAAAGCCACATTGATGTAAACAAACCTCAGAGCCAGTAAAGAGGTGGATCCGAACTCAGATCACCAACGATCGTCGTCGTTGAACAAGCATTTGCACACCTGACGTAATTCATCAACCGTTAGCGCAAAAACAAAACAAAAAAAAAAAAAAAAACAGGAAAAAAAGACAAATTCAAAATTCATCGGACGGAAAATTTTGCAAATTTTCTCGACAAAGCGAAAGAAAATCCGCGGAACTCATGACTGATCGGCGACATCAGTACCTGCGTTGCGAATTACGATCGGAAACTAGGGTTAGGATTCGTGATCGGAGAGAGAAAGCGTCACGGAGTTCGTGAGTTCGGACGTTTAACGACGAGAGTGATTGGAAGACTGAAGAGGAAAGAAATTTGAGCAAAAAAATATACCGAAGCTGAAGCGGTTAGGTTCGGAGCTGCGAAGCGGATCCCGAGCCTGAGGTTTGGTACAATTTTTCAGTTGAGGATTCTAAAAATTTTGATGAGCTGGTATATAATGGTCGCAGTGTCAGTGCGGTAGGAGTGGTACTTTCATGTAGTGTTAAAATTTTAGATGGACCGTTGAATTTGTACTCGGTATCTGAACTCGCCGCTTGAGAAATTTGGGCCGCCCGCCCAAGTCTGAGATTTGCCTTGGACGGGCACGGGCCTTGTTTTGATTGTTGGAGCCTGTCTAAAAAAGTTTAAAAATTAAATATATTTATATAATTTTTAGTTTTGTATAATATTATGTATATATAATATATAATATTGTTTATTAATTATATTTGTACATAAATAATTATTAAATTATTTACTGTAAATGTTATATAAAAACTATAATTAAGATTAAAATTAACACACATTATTAAAACAATTTAAAGAATTAGTTTTCTTTATTAATTTTTAAAATTGTACTAAATCAAACACGTTACTCGGGCAGGCCACTTAAGCATTTCGGGCGGGCAATACGGCGAACTTCAGGTAATGGGCTTGCAACGGCGGCAGGCTTCTTTTTTTGGTTGATTTTCGAGCTGTCCGAGCCTGAGCACGGCCTGGAACTTGGATGGGCAGACGCCTGCCAGGCTCAAAAATTTTCGGGCTTTAGGCAGGCCTGCCGCCTGTAGTTCCAACACTACTCTCATGTATCATCTTTCTGCCTGATTTGTTCAATCAAATTCGACCAATAAATAAAAAAAAATTATCTAAAATTAATTATGAAAATTATACATATACTAAAGGAAAAGAACGGTTTCACTATTCACGCTACAGTGCTATGAACAGTGTCTTTCCGGTTTTACCCTCTTGCTTGTGTAATTACCATTTTGTTGTTTGATACTTTTTCATTTGATTTTTAATTCTTGCCGTTTTGGTCATTTGCTTCAGATGGAGTGTTTTAGGTCTACTCATTTTCTCTTTCCGTTTGCTACCTTCTACAACCTTCTACATCTTTCTTTTTTTTTCTTCATTTCTGGAGCAAATTTTCTTCCTTCCGTTTGTTGCCTTCTACAACCTTCTACACCTTTCTTTTTTTTTTTCTTCATTTCTGGACCAAATTTCTTGCTTCCCATCTTCTTTCTCTTTGCGTATATATTTTTGGGTGTTTTTTGTTTCATTTTTTATTTGTCTTTGGTTGTATATGCATGGTCGTTTTATCTTTCCTTGCGCCGTTTGTTCTCTTTGTCTTCAACTTTCTTGATTTTTTTTGTTTGGATTTCATGGATTTGGTCATTTATTTTAGATCTATGTTTTTACACACTTTTTTCTTGCATTGTTTGGTCATTTACTTCAGATCTATGTTTTTATACAATCTTTTGTTGCGCTGTTTGTTCTCTTCGTCCTCAGCTTTCTTGGTTTTTTAGGTTTGATTTTTCTGTTCATCCTTGCACTCATATGGTTTTTAGATTTCTTCATTTTTCTTTTTCCATTTGTTTATGCAAAAATTTTTTTTTTCCCATTTTTTCTCTTTTGATTTTTGTGGGTGTTTTGAGTTTTGTTGTTTTGTGTATGGTTTTTCATTTATTTATTTTTTGGTCGGTATATTTGGGAAAAATTATTTTCTTTGTTGTTTTCTTCATAATTTTTATATTTTTTCCCCTGTTATTTATTTTTTCGTCCCTGTTTTTGTTTACTATATTTTGATTTTTTTAATTAACATTTTTGAATTTCGACAATTTTGTACAATTGTCGCCATCTATTGTATTAATATTTGTGTTAATCTTTTACTCTGACACGTCCATTTTTTATCTTTTGGTTTTGTATAATGCATATCTAAGATTTAATTGTCTGTTATTTACTGGTTAAGTTTTGCGGTCGTCTTCATGCTTTGTGTTGGCTGTCGTTCATTAATCATTACTTCTATTAATTTCTGTTTGTAGGAATTTGTATTGGAGATTGAGCAAAACATTGGTAACTTTCTGTATATATAATGTATGTTATTCTATTGTTATACTTTTTTACTTTCCCTTTGTCTTCGTTTTTCAGATAATATCATTTATCCTGTTCTATTCTCTCTGCTTTCTCACTGTTTAAAGATCTTATTGATACTAGCCTTTGATTACTAATCTTATCACCTCCTTGATATTCCCTTGCTCTATTTCTGCTGCTTAGTAATTTTGGTGCTTTGTTCGATCTATCCTTTTGCCCGTGGTTCATTGACTGAGGTATTCAATTTTTTTATTTATTTATTTTGAATTATTTTAGAATATTGATTTATAATGTTATGTTCATTTGTTATATGAATTATTTTATGTGCTGATTTATCTGTTCATTATAATATATTTTTTATGAATATAAATTTCTTTTGCGTTATTTGATACAACACTATGTTTCACTTTTATTAGATATTTTTTTGTTACTTATAAATTATATATATATATATATATTTCACTTATTGTCTTAATTTGGTCAATATTTCAGTTATTCATTTATTTCAGTATGTATTCATGCTTATGCTAATATTTGTTTATTGTCTCTTTCTACTCTTAATGTTTGTTATTTAACTTCTGTGTAATATTGTTAAGTCCGCAGAAGTTAGGTTCTTATTTTAGTTTTTGCCTTTTTTTTTTGTCAAAAATTCAATTTTTTCATTTTTAAAATTTTAATTTCTTCTGGTTATGATGTTGTTATATTTATTTTGTTGTTAACATGTGCCGGGTAATTATTGTTATAGATTTGACTATCATTGATGTTGCTTTTTTTATTTTGGACTTATGCCAATATATTTTAATTCGTTCTTCGTTTTACTTATACTGTTACATTGTATGTTGGGATTTTTCTTATTTTCTTCTCTCTTTTTTTTTTCAAACAGTGTGTTTAATTTTGTTTTTTCTTAAATATATTCTTTTTGTTGTATCAATGTATATTAATGTTCTAAACTATACTAATTTTTCTTACTTATGGCATAAACTTCTTAATAATATAGCTGGCAGCCATGTATATTGCTAGATCCTTTTTCAATTACCCATGGAATATGTTCTTGACAATAAATGATTATAACCTGAACAAAATATTTATATACAATCTTATGTTTTTTCAAATGTTTCTTGATATTTTTATAGTCTATACTCAATTTATAGTGTAATATGAAACATTTATTTTTTCTGTACACAAATTTAATGTATATATATGATATGTTAGTGAAACTAAGTATATAGTAGAAATTATTTGACTTCTATACTAATTTTTCTTACTTATGGCATAAACTCCTTAATAATATAGCTGGTAGCCATGTATATTGCTAGATCAATTTTCAATTACCCATGGTATATGTTCTTGACAATAAATGATTATAACCTGAACCAAATATTTATATACAATCTTATGTTTTTTCAAATGTTTCTTGATTTTTTATGGTCTGTACTAAATTTATAGTGTAATATGAAGCATTTATTTTTTCTATACACAAATTAAATGTATATATATAATATGTTAGTGCAACTAAGTATATTGTAGAAATTATTTGACTTTTCTTATTTTTTAGAATTTAGTTTTTATATACTATATTCATTATGTGATAATAAAATATTTTCTGATTGTGTCTATTTTGAGCAGATTTAGTCTTTTCTTATCTCCATAATATACTGCTATGCTTGAATATCAATTGTTTCCTGCTCTCTCTTCGTAGCACTGCATTATTTCTATATATATTCTGATTTGGTTAGCTAACATTTGATATTTACACAGTGTTCTAAGTATTATTAAAGTTTTATGCCTTCCTTTGTCAAAAGTACAATTTTTTATTTTTAAAAATTTTATTCTCTTCCGGTTATGATGTTGTTATATTTCTTTTATTGTTAACATGTGCTGGATAATTGTTATTATAGATTTGGCTATCATTGATATTTCCCTTATTATTTTGGACTTATGCTAATATCTTTTAATTCGTTCTTTATTTTACTTTTATACTTTGTATGTCACGGTTTTTCTTATTTCCTTCAGTTTTTTCAATAAACAGTGAAACCCTTCATTTCCTTTAGTATATGTATAATAATGTATATTATTCTTCTAACATACTAATTTTTCTTACTTATGGCATAAACTCCTTAATAATATAGCCGGCAGCCATGTATATTGCTAGATCTTTTTTCAATTACTCATGGTATATATTCTTGACAATAAATGATTATAACCTGAACGAAATATTTATATACAATGTTATATTTTTTTAGATGTTTCTTGATTTTTTTATTTTCTGTACTTAATTTATAGTGTAATATGAAGCATATCTTTTTTCTGTACACAGATTTAATGTATGTATGTGATATGTTAGTGCAACTAAGTATATTCTAAAACTTATTTGACTTTTTTTCTTTCTTATATTTTGATTTTTATATACTAGGGCTGTCCCGGAGCTGCCCCGGGGCTGTCTTTTTTCTGTACACAGATTTAATGTATGTATGTGATATGTTAGTGCAACTAAGTATATTCTAAAACTTATTTGACTTTTTTTCTTTCTTATATTTTGATTTTTATATACTAGGGCTGTCCCGGAGCTGCCCCGGGGCTGTACCGGGGCTGCCCGGGGCTGTCCCGGGGCGGCCCCGGGGCTGTACCGGGGCTATCCCGGGGTTGTTCCGGAGATGTACCGGGGCTGCCCCGGGGCTGTCCCGG